GGGGGGGGCGCGTGCGCGTGCACGCGTGTGGAGTGTGCAATTGACCCCGGATGCACGGGGGTGCGCACGTGTGTGTGTGCGCGTGTGTTAGTGAAATTGACCCCGGATGCATAGCTGTGCCTATGGGGGGGCGGGGGGTGTATGCGAAATTGACCCCGGATGCATGGTTGTGCGCACATGTGTGTGCATGCACGTGAAATTTAGCCTAGGTGTGCATATGTGTGTGTGTAATTGACCCTGGATGCATGGGTGTGTGTTTCACCCTAGATGCAATTGTGTGCGTGTGTGTGTGAAATTTACCTAGATGAATGGTTCTGCACACGTGTGCACACGCGCATGAAATGTACTCTAGATGCGCATGTGTGTGAGAGAAATTGACCCTGGATGCATGGTTGTGTGCACATGTGCGTGCATGCATGTGATTTACCCTAGATGTATGTGTGCGCGCGCAAAATTTACCCTGGATGCATGGTTCTGCACACCTGCATACACTTGTGACATTTACTCTAGTTGCATGTGCGTGTGTGTGAAATTGACCCTGGATGCATAGTTGTGTGCACATGTGTTCAGAGTGTCTGTGTGTGTGTGTGTCAGATGCCCAGATGTGTGTGTGCCTGCATGTTCACATGCCTGATGCATGTGTGCACGCACCTGTATTGGGAATGTGTGGGTGTGTGCGTGTGCACATCTGTGTGAAATTTACCTCAGATGCATGTGTATCCATCCGTGCATGTGTGTGTGGCTGCATGTGTACATGCGTTGGCAGTGTGTGTGTGTGTGTGTGCATGTGTGTGTGGGGGTGTTGGTTGTAGCCGTGTTGGTCTAAGCACACAGGCAGACACAGTTCTTTGGGTAAATCCAGTATCTTTTATTAGAACAGCTAAATAGTTGGAAAAGATGTTCTTTGCAAGCTTTTAGTAAAAAGGGGGTTTGTGTCCAAAAGCTTGTCCATCCCCCTGCTCCAAGCAGGACCAGCCCCTACTAGATGGTCCCAGCCACGGCTTTGTCTAGCTGGGTTTTCAAAACCTTCAAGGATGGAGATCCCACCTCCTCTGTGGGTAGCCTGTTCCAGTGCTTTACTACCTTCCTCATGAGAGTTTTTCCTAATATCCAACCTCAACTTCCCTTCCTGCAACTTGAGACCATTGGTCTTGTTCTGCCCCCACTGAGAACAGCCCAGCTCCATCCTCTTTGCAACCCCCCTGCAGGTAGCTGAAGGTTGCTATTAAATCCCCTCTCAGTCTTCACTTCTCCAGACTAAAAAAGCCCGGTCCCCTTAGCCTCTCTGCATCAGCCTCTTCCCAGCCTCCGAACCATTTTTGTTGCCCTCTGCTTCTCTCCAATTTGTCCGTGTCCTTTGTGTAGTGGGGGCCCAGAGCTGGACAGAGGACTCCAGATGTGCCCTCACCAGTGGCAAACAGAGGCGAAGAATCACTTCCCTCCATCTGCTAGCAGGGCTCCTACTAATGCACCCCAGGGTGCTGTTAACGTTCTTCATAACAAGGGTACACCATTGGCTCCTGTTCAGCTCATTGTCCACTGTAACGCCCAGGTCCTTTTCTACAGAGCTGCTGGAGAAACTAGTTGGTCCCCCCATGCAGCCGCTCAGTTTAGGTGAGGCCAGAGGGTGTTGTGGCTGGCTGAGGGGCTGTGGATCTGCGGTGGTGTATTGTGGTCCTGGCTCCCTCATCACAAGACAAAACCCTGTTGTCTCCTTCCTGCAGGCAGCCAGGAGCCCGGACGCTGCCAGCCGGTCCCACGTGTGACGGGCGGGAGAGCAAGAGCACAGGCCCAGGCTGGGGTGAGGCAGACAAGATGACTGCTGAGCTGGAGCCGGCTCCAAGCTTAGTGCTCCCCTTCCCAGCACTGGTGCATCCTCTGGCGACGATGGAGGAGCAGGAGCCAGCTGACCCTGAGCCCAGGGCAGGACCGGAGGGAGGAGGGAAAGTCCCTCGTGTTGTCCAGGCTGGGACAGGTAGAGTATCCCCAAGGTGGTTGGCACCACAACAGATCAAGCAGGAGCCGCTGGAGGAGCCTGTCCAGCGCTGGCAGGTGAGTGTCTCTGTGCTGAAGCTTTGCTGGTAAATACGGCACTGGGGGCAGCTGCCCTGACCTGGGATGTCTGCTCCCAGGTGGCTGAGGGGCTGCAGGCGGGCACCTGCGGGAGCTCTGCCAGCACTGGCTGGAGCCCCAGCACTGTGGCAAGGGGCAGATCCTGGATCCGCTCCAGGAGATGCTGAGCTGGGATTGGGGGTGCGATGTGGAGACCTGCACCGAGGCGCTGGCCCTAGCTGAGGGGTTTTGGCTGGGGCTGGCAGATGCTCCAGGTGAGAGCATGTCTTCTTCACACTGATGCTGCCTCCCATCTGTCCATGTTTGGGGATGTGCCCTCCCAGCCCCATCTCTCCCGGCTGCCAGCAACATAGTTGTCTTGTTCCCAGGTCACAGTGCACAGGCAGCTTGAAGATGTGGCCTTGGACATGGAGGGACCTGGGGCACTGAGGGAACCTCTCTGCTCCTGGCTGGAGTGGGCGCAGACCCATCCTGGGCATGTGCCCCTGGAGGAGGCAGGATGGCGTGAAACCCCAGGGCCCCAGGAGGAGCTGCCTTGTGTCCCCAAAGAGGAGCCCCCATTCAACCAGGAGCCAGGTAGTGTGCCAGGGGCCTGGGTAAAGGTAATGAGGGGCCCGGATGTGGGTGACCGCCTAGCTGCTCAACCCCCAGAATGAGGGGCTGGGACCTCTCGCTGCGAGTCTGAGGTGACAGGGCCTCCTTGATTTCTGTCCCCGGGCAGGTCTGGAGTCACATTAGCACCCAGGGGGAATAACACCCTGCCGTGTTATTTTGAAACGTGGGACTGGGGAACCAATGCTCCAGAGGCAGGAATTTTCTCTGTGCTCGTGCAAGTTTATTCCACAGCTGGCGCACACGCCCATACCTAGACGTACACTAGTGACCTTGCCATCGAATCTTGCTCCCTGTCCTGTTGATTAGAAAGTCCCGGGTCTGGCTGGGACATTCAGGGGGGCTGTCTAGTAGCCCAGCAGTGTAGGAGCTGAGGAGGCTAGTAGTCCAGCCATCTGTGACCTTTTGTTTCCAAATTCTTTTATGCCTTCTTGTTATTTGCATATTCATCATTTCCCCCATGATAATTGCTACCGCTACTGACCATTTACAGGGTATTTGCATTGTTGAATTTTCACCGCTGGCTATATTTCTAAAATCCTGTCTGCAGAGATGCACCCAGATCGGCAGACCTTCCTTGTCATTCTCTTTCTGCCCATCTTCTTACCTGTCTTTGGCAACACTTGCAGCAGCTTTGCTCAGTGTTAACTATCTAGTGGCTTTTTAGCAAGCTCCATGGCTAATATAGGGCCTTGTGGAAGCAGATGCTGGCAGCTTTTGTGGTTACACTGAGGGCTACTGTGATCATTATCAGTGTTGGAGTCCCAGGCCCAGGAATGAGCTGATGTGCGTATCTGGGAATGGGTTTGTATAGTGATTTTTGGCTAGCTCTAATTTACATTTAACTGTAGGCCTCTGTCCCACTGCAGATTCCCCCGACACAGAGGAGACCTGGGACTCATCAGCAGATGAAAGCCCCTTGGGCTGCTTCCCCAGACGAGGCTGTTTGCTAGGAGCAGGTAAGAGGCAGTGGCGCTGCCCTTTGCAGTTGAAGGAAGCATTGCTAGTCAGTGGAAAACTTTTCTCCTTGAGTATTTTATTGGGGATCAATCCAGCATGTTTCCTGTTCTGGGATCCTCCTAGAACAGGGGTGGGCAAAGTCTGGCTCACAGGCTGGATCTACCTGGCAGTGGACTCCATTTCCCAGCCACCCCTGCCCAGCTTGGTCCAGGGCCAGGGCAGAGCCGCGATCTGCAGCCTGCATGCTCTGGGCAAGGGCACGCAGGCAGCGGATCACAGCTCTGTCCTGGCTCGGAACCACTCTGTCACTGCTGCAAGGAGCCGGGGTAGAGCTGTGATCTGCAGCCTGCATGCTCCAGGCAGGGACATGTAGGCTGAAGATTGCGGCTCTGCCCCAGCTCCTTGCAGCAGTGACAGCCTGGTCCAGAGCAGGGGCAGAGCTTGTATCTGCAGCCTGCACGTCCGTGCCTGGAGCATGCAGGCTGCAGATCGCGGCTCTGCCCTGGCCCTGACCAACGTGCCCCCACTGCAAGATCCCAGCAGCTCTGGAGCAGCCCCCAGCCCTGCTCTGCCCTGCCCTGCCTTGCATCCTGTCCTCCTTGGCAACCCCAGCGTTGCCCTATCACAACACAGCTGTGGCTGGAGTCTCCATGGAGACCAGCCCCAGCCATGCAGGCAGGGGCTTCTGGGAAATGGAGTCCGGTTGCCAGCCAGATCCTCCGTTTTGCCCACCCCGCCCTAGAAGCCACCCTCAGCCCCTACAGCAAGTGGCCCTGTTTGTTCCCTCCTCCTCCTCTGTAGTGTGGATCTTGATGCAGCACCAGGATCCCGGTTACGTTTCTCAGAGTCTGATGTCTGAGGTTGCCATTCCCAGCAAGGGCAGAGTCATTGTGGCTCATCTCCAGCTTCACGGCTGGAAAGGTCTATTTAGAAGGGCCTTGCTACTTATTCAGTTTCAAGCTGGGTAGAAACCGGTTGCAGAGTTGTTACTTATGTTAAAGGACTAGCTCTGTAGCTGGTTGGCTCTCTTAAGAGCTGGGGAGTCATTTCTTGTGCATGATATTGGCTTGCGTGTGTAGCCGATTTCAATTTATGTTGCCATTCACCAATTCATTGCATAATATTTATCTAATGAGTAGCAGGGGCCTTAGAAGACCTATGGGACTTTGGCTCTTTCATCTCTCTCCTTTCCCCTACACTGAGGTCTGGGGGTTGACTTAGGCACATGCCAGCACAAGGGAGTAGCAGGGCTTTGCCTTTGCCAGTGGCACTAGGGCTAACCTGTGCCATCCTTGCTGTTTTCTTTGGGTGTTAATTGTTAGTGTTGAAGGGCCCGGTCACACGTTACATATATTATGCAATTTACTGCTCAGTTACGCAATGTATTTAGCCTGGCCACACGTGCAAAGTTATAATCATGCAACAAAAATTACTACGCAGCCAGCCACCAACTGAACTAGTGCATGGAAATGTTTATAGCTGGTTTCTATCCAGCTTGAATTTGAATGTGGGGCAGGGCCTGAAATGTTGGGGACTGCAGAGCTGGCAAAAAGTCACTGCCAGAAGATCCAGACATCAGTCTTATCTTACAAAATAACTACAGGCTCAGTTGGGTGGCATAAATTCTTCCAGGTTTATTGTCTACAAGGCACGGTCCCAACAGACTCTTGGTCTGACAGACAAGGTGTTAACGCATGTATGTCCATGAGACGGCGTTAGCATAACACCACACGGCCTCTCCTAGGGCGATACAAACTTCCCCTCATTCTAATTCTCATTTAATGCAGTGGTGAAGACACACTACACGTTACATCCCACCAGTATCTTCACTATACTGAGCCATCCTAGTCATCCTGGTACTGGACTCTTCTCTGCCTTGTTCAACCATCTCCCTCTCCCATCCTTTGGCCTGCATGCTAAGTTTTGCCAATGTGAGGAGTTCAGGCATCAAGTCAGATTCACTGATCAGCCCGTTCTAGCCAACGCTTTTATCAGAGCCTTTGTGTGAGCAGTATTGATCGATGTACCAGCGAGGCCTACAACCTGCGGATGCTCTTCCCCTCCCAGCAGGTTCAGGGACCCTGAGCACAGCTGAGGAACGACCTCTTGAGGAAGGGCCTGTAAACCTGGAGCTGCTGGGGCCATCCCCAGGAAGATCAGGGGAGAGGAGACTCCCGACAACTGTGCCAGGCCAAGTGCATCAGAAGCAGGGCAGGCACCCACAGCAGAGAGAGAACGTGGCCGTGAGCAAGGTACAGGCTGCAGTGGGGTGTGAACAGGGAACCAGTGAGAGTTGTGGGTGCGGGGAAGAGCCAGAGGAGAGGAGAGACTTGAAGAGCCACAAGAGGAAGTTTCACTAGCAAAGGAGGTTGCATCCCAGCTGAGGCAGGAAGGAAGGCTTCAGGGGAAGCAGGAGCTCACTGCCAAGTACACAGAGCCTGAGAGGCTGGGACTGGAAGTGCTGGTCTGAGCATCTGTAGGTCCAGTGCTCCCTGCTTCTGGAAGCACTGCCTCAGCTTCCTCTAATGGGTGCTTCAAGTGAGCATTTGAAGACTGGGGGTCCCAGGAGAGAGCCTCACTGGGCACTCTGGGCCCCAGAGAGCACAGGGTGAGGGTCTCCTCAGCTGAGCCCACCAGATTCCCCCTGAGAGGTATGGAGAGGTCTGCACCCAAGTCCACCGAGTCCCTCCAGCTCAGCCGTTGCCAGGGCAGGGTCCTGAGCTAGCCGTTTGCTAGGAGTGAGCAGCGTTCCTGACTCCTGGAGGAAAATCTGGGATCAACCTGCCAGAAAGGGAACTGAATGCCAGTCTCCTTGCACCAGTGTCCGACTGGGACCAAGGACAAATTCCTAGAGTAGCTTAAAGCTGCAGGACCTCCTCCAAGCCCGCAGGTGTGATGTGTTCCCAAGGAAAACGGTCACTTGGTGTTTTGGGGAGTTGGAATATCTTTGTGTCTGCGCACGGAGTCGGACTGCCACAGCTCCCTCTTCCTCCTGCTCCCAGGCTGAGTTTGCACTGAGTCCCACCTGCTTCATCTCATCCCAGGCCATTGGGAATCCTTGTTCCTCCTTCCTGGCTCTATTCCTTCCCTTGTCCTTTTTTTCTACTCCATAGCTTGACAGAACAGGGATGGCTGCAGCAGCCCCAGGTCATGTAGGACAGGGGTTTTCAACCTTTTTGGATCAGTGTATCCCTGGCGGCCAGATGTGGAGCAGTGTACCTCTGGCGGCCAGACACAGTGCAGGCCCTGCTCTCCCAGCCAGACACAGAGCGGGGGATCCAGCCGGGCGGGTGACGCCTGCATGGGATGGTGCATAGCGGTGCTCCGTCCCTGCCCGCCTGCACGTATCCCTTAGGGCCTTCTCAAGTACCCCTGGCGGTACATGTACCCCCAGTTGACACCCCCGATGTAGGATATAGGCAGGGGGGTTCTCTGTCTGTGTTTTGTGGGGGGCAGTAAGTCTCCTGGGATTTGGAGCCTGTAGAGCTCCCCACCCAAGAGCCTCATGGGGGGAAAAAAAGAAGATTCCTGACACCACCAACACCCAGTGTTTGCTGGCTGGTGTCAGGGGGAGACGGGTGAAGTCCAGGGTCCCCCTCTCAGGCTGAGTATTCTCCCTGCAAGTCACTGGTGTGCAACCAGTTTCCCCAGGGGAGGTTCGGGGCACCTGGGCTAAAGTTTCTCGTGGTGGTGTTATGATGGCAGTGTTTCCCTTATAGAACAGCATATACTGACAGAGTGAGTAGCTGTACCCACTCCCTAGACAGCATGAGTTAAAGCAGAGAAACACGTGGCTCTGTCTGTAGAGCTGTGTCCACACCAGACCCTCTGCTGGAGCAGCTGTGTCAGCTGAAGAGTGGGGCTTAGGTTTGTGGAGGCTGGAGCAGATGCTGATGGTGTAACTCTTGTGCCTGCAGCTCCCGGAGGCCTTTGAGGACGTGGCCGTGTATTTCACGCGGAAGGAGTGGGAGCTGCTGGAAGCTGAAGACAAGGGGCTTTACCGGGACCAGATGCTGAGGAATTACCAAGCCCTTGTTTCCCTGGGTAACGTTCTGGTTCTTGTTTCCACACCCCCCGGCAGAGCTGTATGAGATCATAAATGTACTCTTCTTCTCTCTGTTCCTTTACAGTCACACCCTGATCCAGTTTGGTTGGTGGTTTAAGTCCACTTTTGCTCCACTGCTCTGTCATTGCTCAGGCCTCTTGTCCACTTCTCATTTTTGCATCATCCTCTGTTTCAGATGCTGCCTTCACTGGGGTCTTCCCCTGGTCTAACCCCTCTTGTTTCCATGTCCAGCAATTTCCTTGCAAGATGATCCCCCTTTGCTGTCCCAGCATGTTTGTATTAAGGACATAAATATTATTTTAAAAATAGCCATTTTCAACCCTTCTAAATGTTAACTGTAATACATTAACAGCATAAATATAATTACAGCTTAAACCAATTATCTGTTTAACTTTTCACATCCCAAGTTGGTACCATCTTCAGTTAATTCATTCACCAACAACCATTTCTTGGGAACTAGTTCTTCCTCACTCTTTTTCCTATTGTATTTGGTCCAAACACTTAACAATCCCAGCATGCAGTGCACATTTCAGTGCTCTCTTCAGGCAGAAACAGCTGTTGCTTGTTCCTCATCCATGTTCCTCCAAAGGAGATGTTTGTAGAGGCACATAAGTGAAGCAAAAAGATCTTCACACACTTTTGTTGCACCACAGACACCTAAAATTTGTAGCTGCAACAACGCCGGTATTTTTTTGCAAAAATTTTGTTGGTCCAGTAAAAGATGATATCTCTCCTATGAGTCCCGATTGGCTTTTCCTCTAGACCAGCACGGCTACAACCTGGATACCCAATAATAGATTGTGGCACTTGATTGGGGCAGATGTCTATTCACTTGGTGGTCGAAGAACTTCCAGCGCTCTCCAGCTGATCTGAAGAGTGGGGGGGGCCCAATCCTGCAAACCCCATGAATTTCTGAGCAGGATCGGGCACTTGTAGTCCCCAGCCAGCTTTCCGCTCTTTCAGTGATGTGCCCTGAGGACTCTTGGGGTGCATGTCAGTAAATGGAGAAAGCCAGGATTTCTCTGCTTCTGGAGATGCACCCCTGGGATATACAAGTGGGAAAAGCTGTGGGGTTCCCCACTGGAGACAGGCTGGGGAGATTCCAGGGACATGTGCCTATAAGCAGGGAAAGCCTGGGGTGCCCTAATTACAGAGATGTGTGCATTCCCTGGTTTTGGGTTATGGATTCCCTGTCTCCTCCACTGCTTCAGGCAGTTTGGCAACATCTGTTTCTACCCTTAATCCCTTTTCCCTCCTTTTTAACTTAAGCTGGCTAGTAACTAATGGAAGCATTACCAGCTGTTGCTGTTGCAGCCTGTGGCTTTTCCATTTTCTCAGCTTCTCCAATGACACTTTTACCCGTGATGAGACGCAGGTTCTTCTAACAAGGAGCCCTTGTAAGTTCTCCCTCACATTCCTTTCTAGCATCTTCACTGTTGTGGACTACAACTTGCTTTTCCATTGTATAACGATTTCTTTTTCTGTTAGAATCGCTCATTATTTTGGGAAGTCTCTTTGCAAAAAAAAAAAAAAAAAAAATCCCATGACCCCTGGTGCAGATCATTTTAAGAACTTCTTTGGTGAAGAAGTTTAATCATCCTTATGATTAAAAGGAGGGTGCCTGAGTGCAGAGCCCTGGTGAAATCTGATTTCCATTTCCTAAGGATCTTTATTGCAGAAGCTTGTTCTGACTGATGTGGAGGAGTATGTGCATATGTTTTTCAGTAATCAGGTATCCTTCTCTGCTGCTTCCTTCTTCCTCTACCTCCACTGAAAATCTTCCTTGGGGACCTGCACATATGCTTTTTGCCAGCTACCTAAAGGTCAGCTTATTGTGTTCTGTAGTTTCCTTATTGATTAGTGACACACTTTCCTTTTTTCAAGCCAAACTGATTAGCACTGACCTGTGTGCTCCCAGTGACTCTGGCTGCAGTAATTTATCATCAGTTTGGAAAGAGCAGCTAAGTCATTTTGTTCCCCTGTCATTGGAAGTTTGGTGATAACTTCCTTTCTTTTTTGCAGCAGAAAAGTGGCATTGCACTTAGTCACTACTCATGTGAAGTTTTTTATCCTGTATAGTTTCCATCATTAAGTGCAGCACCACCACCATTCCCCGTCATCTCCTACTGCTTCAGGAACTTCCACAGGTTGAGCGTATGAACCTGCTATTCAACTTTTCTTTCCTGCTTCCTTGCTTTCCTGATTTCCTCTGCACTGTCACCTGGAAGCTCAACTTCATTTACAAATGTTCTCTGGGACATTCTCCTCTCAACAAATTCTCAAAAATACAAGATTGGTTTTAGATCACATGTTGATCCTCTTTTTTTGTCATTAATAAATAGCATTGGATACAAGATTACCCAAGGTTTTTGTTTAATCGTTCTCAGTTTAAACCAGCATATCAATTGTTCTCTCATCCTTTCCAGTGTTCAGTTTTCTATACAAGCCTTTCAGCACTGCTTCTCTTGCTACTGCCATTTTATAGCTCTCATTTTTGTCTGCATGAATGACTTGGTCCAAATCCACTTTTGTTTCTTACTGAAAACTTCTCTAGTTACTTTGATGCCTTGTGAAACCTCAATTTTCCCACCTGGTGTTTCTTATATGACTGGGTTTCACCCAATACATCTTCAGCAGCTGTAAGTGAAACTACCTTCCCTGAATCTCAGAGTGACTCTGCATTAAACTCTCCATATTATAAGACTGTTGGTGAACTTTGTTACAAATTCTGGGCTTTCCATTTAAGATAACTTTCACCATTTCTTCCTTTCCCTGATATTCTTTTTCTATCTTTTATCTTTGAGACTAGCCCACACTCAGTAAGTGCGATACTGTGTGGGAGTATGTTGCTCTCACAAGGTATCAACCTTTGAGTTCGGTTTTATCTCTACTGCTAGTCATTGTGCAACCTATTTTTACTGAATGACCATCTCTTCTGCAGGTGATTTGTATCATCATCTTTTTCTTGGGAAACTGGGTAGACCTGTGCCATACTATGGGTTTTCTCTTTCTGAAAAACGTGTCTTCTTCCTTCTTTTATCCATATCCACAACACAGTCTGTATCTTAAGTACATATGCATCACCTCCTGTAAGGATCCACTCTTTGGATGAAAAGGCTGCTGTAGTTACCCATACAGTTGTTATAACAACATCCTGGCCAAGTTCGCGGATGACACCAAGTTAGGGGAAAGCATGGTCACACTTGAAGATAGGCTACAGATACAAGCGGACCTAGACAGGCTGGCAAGTTGGGCAGATCAGAATCTGATGAAGTTCAGCGTCGAGAAATGTAAAGTGCTCCACCTTGGGACAAGCAAACCCAACATCCCTACAGGCTTGGCAGCATCAAACTGACCAGCACCACGAATGAAAGGGACCTGGGAGTAATTAGAGACCACAGTATGAACATGAGCCAGCAGTGCGATGCTGGTCGCCAGTAGGGCAAATAATACTCTGACATACATCAATTGAAGCATCTTCAGCAAAACCAGGGAGGTGATTCTTCCACTCTACTCAGCACTGGTGAGACCGCAGCTGGAGTACTGTGTCCAGGTCTGGGCACCGCACTTTAACAAGGATGTGGACAAGCTTGAGAGAGTCCAGAGAAGAGCTACCCGTATGAACAGAGACTTGCACGGCAAGATGTACAAGGAAAGGCTGAGGGATCCGAGACTCTTGAGCCTGAAGAAAAGAAGGCTGAGAGGGGACCTGGTAGCAGCTTACCGCTACACTAGGGAAGTACATGAAGGGATCGGTAAGCAATTGTTCACCAGGGCACCCAAGGAGAAAACCAGGAGTAATGGCCACAAACTCCTGGAAGATTGATTCAAGCTCAACATTAGGAAAAATTTCTTCACAATCAGGGTGTTCAGACTGGAATAAACTCCCTCCAGAGGTGGTGCAATCGCCTACCCTGGAAATCTTCAAGAGGAGACTGGACAGTCACCTTGATGGGGTCACTTGACCCCCAGTTACCTTTCCTGCTTGGTGCAGGGGGCTAGACTTGATGACTTTCCAAGGTCCCTTCTGTCCTTACAATCTATGAATCCTTTTCTATGTGGTGCTGTAACAGGACACCCTCCCCAGTGCCATCTTCCCTGTTATCCGCGCTTTACATGGGGCACCCTTGGAGTCCCCTTTAAGGTTTGTGTACCACTCTCTACTCGCCTGCCACATCTTGATGGAAATTATACTGATGTTGTTGTAAGTGGGAGACTGCCTATAGTATTTTGTATGTTGGGGTCTTCCGCCTCCATGGGCCTTGACCCCTGTCTTTCTCCAACTAGGCCTCCCCATCTAAAGCCACCAAACAGGGTTTGACTCTGAGGCTCTAGCCTTTTCTTTTCTTGTTTTGAAGCTCGTGGCCCTCCTTTCTGCTCTGATCTGGAGCCCAGCCTCCCTGGCCTAGAGGCCCAGCCACTGGCCCCATAGCCAGGGCATTGCAAGTTCAAGGCCAGGAACAGCCCCGGACCCACACTGTCCCAGTCCAAAGAAAAACAAAACCGCACCTCAGGTGCACCAGACCACCCTGGCCTTTTAGGATTGTGCCCTCTGGCACCGGGGTCTGTACACCTTAAAATCATGTACCCATACTGGCACTGGGGCCTATGTACCCCAAATACTGCACCTTCTCTGGTCAGTGCACCCCAAAATCCTGCGCCCACTCTGGCACCGGGTCCCCATGCTGTAGTGGGGTCCCAACGAGGCCTCTTCCTTCCCCAACAGCTTCACCTAAACCACCGGTGTTATTCAATAACAACAACAAAAAATAATATGAACAGTCCTGTCCATGGGCAATAACTGCCACCAAGAGAAATGTGATTAAAGAAGGCAGCATGCCAGCTTACATTTACTCAGGGTTTGCGCTTCAGCTCCCCACTGTTGGCTACAGTCCTTCCTCTGGGGTTGCTCCAGGGTCCTCCGTAGTTCCCTCCTCCAGCCTTTAGCCAGCCTTTCCATGGAGCTCTGGGACACACTCCTTCCCCTTTGGCTGCTGGCCTCTACTGCTGCTCAGCCCAGGGTTTTTATAGTCCTGGCCTGCCCCTTCTCGTCAGCTGACTAGCTGGCCACACTCAGCTTTTAACCCCCACTTTACCAGCACTCTGTGCCCAGAAAGTTCTGGCTTTAAAGGGGCCGCCTTGTCTTCTGGTGACAGGGCTAGGGTTTCCTGTTACAGGTGCCAAAATGAATTGCTTTCTCTCCCATATACAAGTTTTCATTGTCATCAGTGTGTCATTGAGTCCTTACTTCTCAGACTCATCAATCCTTTACTGAGAACCCCCCACCCCCAAAATTACCCTAATAAGGTCAGTTTTGTGGATGGCTATGAGTATGTTCACTGTCTCTGTCTTCAGATCAGTACAGTGTAACCTCCTAAATCTGTTTTTCAAAATTTTGGAAATCTCAAAAATCCGGCACTTTTTAAATACACTACATTGGGGAGTAGCGGCAGTCAGTCCCAGAGCAGCAGCCGCGTGCAAAGCGGTGATGCAGAGTGGTGGATGGGAGTGGCAGCTGCCATGTGCAAGCTTCCCCCTCCGTGTCCAGGTTGGAGGGGTAATGGTGGGTGGTGATGGAGCTGGGGAGTGGGGATAGTGGCGGCCGGTCCCGGGACAGCAGCCGAACGCTTTCAGAAATCTGGAATTTTCAAGTTCCCAGCAGGTGTCAGGTCCCAAGGATGCTGGATTTATGAGGTTATACTGTATTTTGAACATCTACAAAATAATTTGCTTTCTTCCTCCTTACACATCACATACCACTGCATCTCTGCCCACTTTCCTTGATGCCACTGTAAGATTTTTACCGTTATATACTTCTGAGGGGTTGATGCTTCATACAACCATTGTTCAACTTACTTGGGTGACAGAGGTCATGATCAATTGACGGTTCCTGCCAGTACTGAGTACTCCTTTTTCTTAAATGTCCTCCTTCCCTTTCCCTTTGAGTGCCCATTAAATGTTTGATTCCAGTGGATCCTTTCTCCAAGTCCCAGTTGGGTACTGGATGGTGGAGTAAACACTCTCTATACGCTCCCTAACACAGGGTATCGAGGTCCTACACCGGATTTAATCTGCCGCATCCAGCGAGGAGAGATGGAGCTATGGGTCAGTGATGATGAGGAAGCTGGAGAAAGCTCATTGTCTGAGGACTTGTCTCCAGGTAAGTCTTGAAAATCCCTGCCTTCCACCCACATCTTAACGTAGAACCTCTCTATACCCAGGGGGAGCTGGAAATCTGAATACTTTCCTTGAGCTGCTGCCACAAGGTCCTGACATCACACAGTTTAGCCAGATCTGTGTTGTCTGGGCAGGTATGTGTACCCACTCCTTATGTTTCAGCAATGCGTGTACAGGCAACTGATCCCTTCTTCCCCTTATTAGGGCTGCTTAGGTAGGAAATCTGTCTTCAAACCTGCAGATCCTCCTCTCATTGAAGGGTGGGGCTGCCCATTGGGAAGTAATAAAATGCCAGAGACAAAGCCTATCCTGCTGTTTTGGTTTGACACACAAACACGGGATCCGGAGCTACTATGAGCTTAAATGTCCATTTTCCCTCATCAGGGCAAGAATTGACAGGCCTGCCCAAGATGGCTGTACCTATGTTATCCCCCATGGCAGGGCATGATCATGTTTGAATTGCCCCATGGCACCTATCAGAGTTGGCAGAAACCCTGCGGGAGTTATTAAGGATTGGGCTGTAGAGGGACTGGTGCTCTGCTGCCCAGACGGCTACTAATGCTGTTTCTTAATCTGAACTGGAGCTCTGCACCTCCCCTTTGGACGAGTCAGGAAAATTCAGGCAGTATTCACAATACCTCCAGCTGTATGAAATGTCTGCTAGGTGCAGTTAGGATTCACAAGCTTTCGGGTGGAACCAAGGAGGTGCTTGTATTCCCCCCCCACAAGCTTTCATGCCTTGGGGGAGATACAGGCACTTCCTTGTTGCCACCAGAATTGCCCACGTTCTGCTCCATAACGGGCACAAGGGATACAAGCTTTGAGACCTGAGATCCAGAGTCCACATGGAATTGGACCCCTTGTTCTTACAGAGTAAATGATGTCCAGCTGTCCTCTGGGGCACATCTCAGCACAGGGAAATACCAGATCTTTCCCTTTGCCAGCTGGGCAGAGGCTAATCTCTGGGCTCCCATCTCCACCCAGCAAATACTGCGGCACTGGGCAGAGATGAGCAGCAGCAGCCTCCTGGGGAAAGGGCTACCAACCTGAAGCTGTTTGAGGTTGGAAACCAGTTTCGTATCCAACAGGGACAGAAAATGGTAGGGACCCAAAAGAGCAGGGAAGGATTTGAGGGGCAGAGGGACCTTCGTGAGGCAGGGGCTGCATATATGTGCAGAGTCCAAGAAGAGTTTTGGGGGCAAATAGACCATGGGGCCCACAGGGGAGTCCACTGGAGGGAGAATGGCCACCCCTGGGCTGAGCACAGGGACAGCTTCCAGCATATATACCCACCCCTCGGGCAGGAGAGCACGCACTCGGGGGAGCACCCCCACCTCTACGCAGTGTGTGGGACGAGCTTTGTCTCCCTGAGCAATATCCAAATGCACCAGTGGGGAGCATGTGGGGGAGAAGCTGTACTGCTGTGCTGAGTGCGAGAAGAGCTTCACCAGGTTGGATCAGTTCAAAAGCCACATGTGCATGCATGTGGAGGAAAAGCTGTTCTCCTACACCAGTGTGGGAAGAGCTTCATGCAGAGCTCCATGCTCATCACCACGCACCTGCGTGTGCACTCAAGGGAGGAGCTGGTTTCTTGCCCCCAGAGTGGGAAGGGCTTCATCCAGAGGTCCAATCTCATGAAGCACCCGTGCAAGCACGTGGGGGATCTACCCGTCTCCTGCAGCCAGCGCAGGAAATGTTTCACCCAGAGCTCCATGTTTGCCACACACCTGAGTGTGCACACGGGAGAAGCTATTTTTTTGCACCCAGTGTGAGAAGAGGTTCGCACAGAGGTCCACACTTGCACATCACCTGTGTGTGCACACGGGCAAATAGCCATTTTGCTGCCCACAGTGTTTGAAGAGCTTCCCCAAGAGGTTGAAGCTTACAAAGCACCTGTGCCTACATGCGAAGGAGAAGCTGTTTTCTTGCAGCAGTGTGAGAAAAGCTTCAGTGGCAGGTCCACATTCACCAAGCACCAGTAAATGCACGCAGGAGATGAGGCTTTCTTTGTTCAACTAGTGGAAGTTTCATAACCACAAGCTCTGCTTCTCATGTGAGACTTCAGTCCCCCTGACATCTGCTGGGAGGACAAGACAGCAGTGCACGGACAATCCAGGAAGTTTTTGGAGTGTGCTGGAGACAACTCCCTGGGGCAAGTGTTGGAGAGACCAACTAGCGGCCATGCTCTTCTTGACCTACTCACAAACAGGGAAGAATTGGTGGGGGACGTAGAAGTGGATGGCAAGTTTGGCTGCAGTGACCACGAGATGATCGAGTTCAGGATCCTGACAAAAGGAAGAAAGTGCAGCAGAGTATGAACCCTAGATTTCAGAAAAGCCGACTTTGACTCCCTCAGGGAACTGATGGGCAGGATCCTCTGGGAGGCCAGTCTGAAGGGGAAGGGAGTCCAGGAGAGTTGGTTGTATTTTCATAGATTCATAGATGTTAGGGTCGGAAGGGACCTCAATAGATCATCAAGTCCGACCCCCTGCATAGGCAGGAAAGAGGGGTGGGTCTAGATTACCCCAGCTAGATGCTTATCAGTGTTGGGTCTAGATGACCCCAGCTAGATGCCTATCTAACCTCCTCTTGAAGACCCCCAGGGTAGGGGAGAGCACCACCTCCCTTAAAGATGTTAAAGAAATCTTGCTGAATGCACAGGAACAAACTACCTCGATGTGGAGGAAGAAGAGCAAATGTGGCAAGTGACCAGCGTGGCTTAGCAGAGAACTCTTCGGTGAGCTTAAACACAAAAAGGAAGCTTATAAGGAGTAGAAACTTGGACAGACAACAGGAGGACTTTAAGAGTATTGCTTGGGCATGTAGGGATGATGGAGGGCCAGAGCACAAGTGGAGTTGCAGCTAGATGTGAAGGGCAACAAGATGGGTTTCTACAAGTATGTCAAAACCAGGAGGAAGGTCAGGGAACATGTGGCTCCCTTACTGAACGGGGAGGCGCCCTAGTGACAGACAAGGAGAAAAAGGCTGAAGTACTCAATGCTTCTTTTTTACCTTGGTTTTCACAGGCAAGGTCAGCTCCCAGACTACTGCACCGGGCAGCACAGTTTGGGGAGGAGGTGAGCAGCCCTCAGTGGTAAAAGAACAGGTTAGGGACCATTTAGAAAAGCTGGATGTGTACAAGTCCATGTGGCCGGACACAGTGAATCTAAGGGTGCTGAGAGAGTTGGATGATGTGATTACAGAGCGGCTGGCCATTATCTTTGAAAACTCATGGCAATCGGGGGAGGTCCTGGACAATTGGAAAAGGGCAAATGTAGTGCCCATCTTTAAGAAGGGAAGAAGGAGGATCCAGGGAACTACAGATCAGTCAGCCTCACCTCATTCAATGGAAAAAATAATGGAGCAGGTCCTCAAAGAATGCATTTCTAAGCATTTGGAGGAGAAGAAGGTGATTAGGAACAGCCAGCATGGATTCACCAAGGGCAAGACATGTCTGACCACCCCGATTGCCTTGTATGATGAGATAACGGGCTCTGTGGATGTGGGGAACACAGTGGGCGTAATATACTTTGACTTTAGCAAGGCTTTTAATACCATCCCCCACAGCATTCTTGCAAGCCGGTTGAGGAAGTATGGGTTGGAGGAACAGACTGTAAGGTGGCTAGAAAGCTGCCTGGATTGTCGGGCTCAACGGGTAGTAATCAGTGGCTCCATGTCTAGTTGGCAGCCGGTATCAAGTGGAGTGCCACAGGGGTCGGTCCTGGGGCTGGTTTTGTTCAGGATCTTCATTAGCGATCTGGAAGATGGGATGGATATCACCCTCAGCAGGCTTGTGGATGACACCAAGCTGGCAGGGAGTAGTAGATATCCTGGAGGGTAGGGCTAGGATTCAGAGAGACCTTGACAAATTGGAGAATTGGGCCAAAAAAAGTCTCATGAGGTTCAACAAGAACAAGTGCAAAGTCCTGCACTTAGGACAAAACAATCCCATGCACCGGGACAGCCTGAGGACGGACTGACTATGCAGCAGCTCTGGAGAAAAGGACCTTACAGGGGTTACAACGGACAATAAGCTGAATATGAGGCAGCAGTGCACCCTTGTTGCCAAGACGGTCCATGGCGTCCTGGGCTGCATGGGTAGGAGTGTTACCAGCAGATCGTGGGAAGTTGTAATTTCACTGTTCTGCACTGGTGAGGCCACATCTGGAGTACTGTGTCCCCCTATAAAAAGAATGTGGACAAGATGGAGAGAGTCGAGCAGAGGGCAGCAAAAATGGTTCGGGGGCTGGAGGACATGACTTACGAGGAGAGTCTGGGGGAACTGGGTTTAGTCTGCAGAAGAGAAGACTGAGGGGGGATTTAATAGCAGCCTTTAACTACCTGAAGGGGGGGCTCCAAAGAGGATGGAGCTGAACTGTTCTCAGTGGTGACAGATGACAGAACAAGGAGCAATGGGCTCAAGTTGCAGCAAGGGAGGTTTAGGTTGGATATTAGGAAAAATTGTCTTACTAGGAGGGTGGTGAAGCACTGGAACAGGTTACATAGAGGGGTGGTGGACTGCATCCTTGGAAGCTTTTAAGGCCCAGCTTGACAAAGCCCTGGCTGGAATGACCTTATCCGGGCTGGTCCTGCTTTGAGCAGGGGGTTGGACTAGATGTGACCTCCTGAGGTCCCTTCCAACGCTCACTTTCTATGAGTTGATTGTTTGTCTGTTGTTAAAAAAAAGTGTCTTTGGTGAAGAAAATACCTTTCTAGAAAAAACAACCTCCAGAATAGTTTACTGAAAACTAAATTGCAGAATAAAGAAATTCTTGAAAAATCAGTAAAGAGGCTTTGGTTTTTGGGGGTGAAAAACACACATGTAACTGAAAGGAATATGTCCCATAAACCTGTTTCTTTTGTTCCTCACCTCAAAATGTTAAAAATGAAGGAAAAGCTGAGCATCTTTGTTCCTCAGCTCAAAGAGAAAAGGATTACTCGCTTGCCCAGGAGGGGAAGAGGCAGCCATGAGGAGGGGCTGACAAAGGGACAGCAGGAGTTTAATGAGCGAGTCCTGGACCAGGTGAAATGCAAAAATTGCTGCTGTGAAATTTTTCACACTCATCTTTCCCAGTCATCGTGGTTTCTGCCCTGTGGCCAGTCCAGATTCCTCCCCCAACCTGGAGTACAACTCGGGCATTAATTGGTGCATTTCTCAGGCCAAAGAGAGCCCTTTCCTTCTCCCCAGGGTGCTGAGTTTCCTGGTGAGCTAAGTTAACATCCCAGAGAGAACAAACTGAGTCCTCTCCAGCACCCTTGACATGGGAGGGCGCTGTTACCAGTTGAGGGGATGTAACTGGCCGTGAGCATCTAGTCCAATCCCCTGCATGAGCCAGGATCATCCCTACTCAAACCTTTTTGACTTCACTGCAACTGGGGTCTGTCCCAATAGTGACATGATAAATGGGCCCCCACAAGCCCCATCCTCTAACATTGGCTTAGGGCATGAATGTCCTCTCAAGGCCTGGGCTGCTGAGACCACAGCCCTCGGGGTCCCTGTGCACTTGGGACAACTCAGCTGCCAATTGCCACTTGGCTACAACTGCCACCCTGCCTGGCCAAGGCCCCCACCCCGTCTGCTGGAGTTTCTCCCACCAACATGCAGGGACGTGAGAGGCAGTTTAGGACTCTACTGAGTGGCCAGTGGGCTCCCAGTTAGGCAGCCAGGGACCTGTCACATATGGAGAAACTTGTCCGTGGTAGTGGTGATCTCCTCCTTGGCTGCGGGGGTTAGGCACTCGTAACGTAGGCAGATGCCCCTCCAGAAGGAACCACGCATTGCAGGGCAGCGTGGGCTTCCCTGGGGCACTTTCAAAGCTCAGGGCCTGACATCAGGTTCTGAGCTGCACCCAGGAAACCATTGCAGTCAGCAGCATCAGGGCATAGTGGGTCAGTTAGGGTAGGGTACAGGGAAGGCAGGCTGTCTGTGGAAAGTAGCCTGCCCTGCCTCCTGTGGACACAGAGAGGAAAGGCCGCCTGGGCAACTTACCACGGTCCCTGGGTGCCTGTGCATGCACAACCCCCAAATTGAGAGCAGCTGGTGCACAGACCCTCTGTATAATGCATGTTATCTCTGAAATGTTGCAAACTCTCACAATAAGCCTCTCTGTCCTTGCTCTGCAGAATCAGCTGCTAGATGCAGGGGCAAATCACCTGGTGGTTGGGAAAATGGGGCCTCAGGAACACCTGCAGCTTCAGCAGCTGTGCTCCACATGCACCAGCTCCGTCAGTGCCAAAGCCAGGATCCGACGGTTGTCTTCGAGCGGCTGGTCACTATCTCCGAGGAGCACCTTGAGGAAACTCGGACCTGGCACCGCCGCTGGCTCCACGAGTTCCGCGAGATGTGGCAGGGCATGGAGCAGTCAGACTGCGAGGATCGTGAGGCATGGCGAGCAGAAAGTGAGGTGTACCACGCTGTCCTGCAGAAGCTGGTGGAGGCCCAGGAGAAGCAGCGTGATATGGTGCGACGGGCAGTGGCTGCTGCCAAGGACAACCAGTGCGTGCGTCACTGACTGTGCTGGCCCTGGTGGTATTTGGCACCACACCCAGTGTCCAGGCCTTGGTCCCGGCCCCAGCTGGTCCCTGACAGGCACCCATGGGCCTGCCTCAGACCCCCCCCACTCCCAGTGACTGTAGCAGCAGGTGCAGTGCCACGTGGCAGCAGGTGCATCCTGTTCCCCCACCCCCCGTTTCACCTGCCATCTGCCCTTTGACCCAGCTCCATGCAGTCCCTGAGAGGGAGCTGCCCATGGTAGGGCCGGCTCCCTACGTGGGCCCTGCTGGCCCTGGCCCAATGGAGGAGGAGGGGGAGTGGGCTGGGCAGGATGGACAGAACCCACCCTCACCCCCAGGTCAGCCCCCAGCCTGCCAGGCTCACCATGGTGCCCAAACCCAAGGTGCTGGTGGCCGATGCTGAGGTGCCACATGCCTCCCTCTGGGCTCTGTGCCGTAGGTGCCTCCTCCCCACTGTTCCCCAGAAGAGTTGTAAATAGACACCTGGGGATGAGGGTATTTTATTGGTGGTATGCATTAGGGTTGGCGGGGAGGTAAGGTATGCATTGGGGCTGTTGGAAGGGAGACAAGGCGGGGTCTTTTGGGAGGCAAAGAGGGGTTTATTGGCGTGTTGGGGATAGAAATAAAGTTTGGGGTTCATTGAAAACTCCTCAGTGTGTGTGTTTTTGCTGTTGCATTGTGGGCCAGGGGTTTGTGGGTGGCTGCCCTGCCGCCCTTCTGCAGAGGGTGGTGGAGGAGGTGGTCTGCGAGTGCCTCAGATATGGTGTCCTGGCTGCTGCTGCTGGGGGGAAGGGGAGGAGCATCCATGGTGCGTTAGGCACAGGTCCTTGGGACAGCATCCTGGAGGGCTGTGTCAGCTGGCTGCAGACTGCTCGGGGCCAAAGAAGAATTTGGCTGGGGAACAAAGCACAGTGCACCCTTTTAAAGAGTGGGGCTGGCAGCCAGGTGGCTGTGGCCATCTGCGGCCATAGCTTGGAGCTGCCCCTGGCTGCTGCAGTGGGGAAGAGCAGGGAAGGATCATGCCCAGTACATTCCTCAAGCTCTTTGCCAGCCAGGTAATGGTAATGGGCACAGGATTGTGAGGTCTGGAAGCTCCAAGTAATACACTGACATGAAGGTGGCAGTTACAAGATGGTCATCTAGCACTTGGATGAGACAGGAGTGCAATTCAGTAGCTGTAACTGAGACTGAGTGGCCCTCTTCAGGATCTGCTTTGCTCACCCCTCATGGGGAGGGAGCTGGAAAAGGTGCTTTAAACGTAGCCTGTCTAATACAGCATTCTGTATTTCTTCCTGACTGGATAACCATGTCCAGTGGGATCACCTTCACTGAGGTTGAAAATACCAGCAAAGACACACCATTACTTTTGGGACCTGGAACATCAGGACCCTCTTGGACAACCCTAGTAGTGAATGCCTAGAGTGCCGCACTGCAATCGTGGTCTGAGAATTCAGGCGACACAACATTGATGTAGCTGCACTGAGGGAGCAGGAGATGGGCAGCTCAAAGGACATAGAGGCGGCTATATCTTCTTCTGGACGGGTAAAAAAGGAGGAGAACGCCAACTTCATGGAGTTGGTTTTGACATTAAGAATGTACTCATAAAACAACACATTGAGTTTAATTTTGGAATTAGTGAACGCTGTATGAGTCTCCATTTTAACCTAGCAGGGAGTCACTATGCCACTGTCATCAGCATGTATGCCCTGACTTGATGCCACTGACAAAACCAAGGAGGAATTCTGCGCCAACCTTGACCAAGTCCTTTCTGATGTTCCAGGGGGAGGCGGTGTTATTTTTTTCAGTGATTTCAACGTGAGTCGGAAGAGACTCTCGCCTCTGGAATGGAACCACTGGCAAAGGAGGAGTAGGAATGGCATCCTCCTCTTGACCAAATGCACAGAACATGGATCATCTTCACCAACACCTTGTTCCACCAGAAAAACAGGAACAACATATCATGGCAACACCTACAATCTAAGCATTGGCACCTGACTGACTATGTCATTGTCTGTGTCAGGGATCGCAAAGATGTCTGCATCACCCGTGCTATGCTAGGAGCTGATGATTGCTGGACTGATCACTGACTCATCCGCTTGGTTATGTCATTCAAACTGGCTCCCAAACGATGGCTGCAGTAGAAGTAATACTGACAGAAGATCAATGTTGATCCAGCCAGCCACCCCACATGGAAACACATGTCTGAGCTGCAGTGAAGTCTGTCAACCTGGATAGGCCTCATCAGCCATCTTTGGACCCGCAGATAAGACAGCCATGGAAGACAATCATCCTCATCTGTGAGGGGTTGCTGAAGAGTAGGCTGTTTGTGGACTAAGATCAAAAGTAGTGTTAGTATTGCTATTGATGTGTTGTTGTTATTATTTTTAGAAGATAAGAACTGCCACGTACTAGGTCAGACCATAGGTCCATCGTGTCCAGTCTCCTTTGTCATGCGGCAACAGAGAGCACATACTGAAAGGAGAGTGAACTGGGTCCTACCAGGGCTTTCTCTACTGTTCCTCTCCCACTTGCAGCCTCCAGCATTTGGGGTCTAGGAAGTTCTGCTGCCCCTCACTCATCTTCAGCCGCTACTGATGCCCCTTTCTGTCAAGGCTGTGTCCAATCCCTGTTTGAATTTGGCTTAACTCTCAGCTTCCAACACATCTGGTTGCAAAATGTCCTTTAAGGACACACTGGGTGAAAAGAAAATCTTTATTATCATTTTAAACTTAGTAGCTAATCATTTCATGTTGTGATCCCTAGTTCTTGTACTGGGAGAGAGAATAAACAATAAATCCCTTTTAGCTTTCCCTTCACCATCCAATATTTTGTAAGCCCTTCTCATGTCCTCCCTCAAGTGTCCTTTTTCTAAACTCAGCAGGCCTGGCCTCGGTCTTTCATCACATGGAAGCCCCTCCATACCACTCATCATCCTTTTTGTCCTTCTCCGGACCTTCTCTAGTTGTCGTCTATCCTTGTTGATGTATGGGGACCAGAACTAGACCCCATATTCAAGGTATGGATGCACCATGGATTTATAAAGAGGCAACATAGGCCACCAGATCAGGAGGAAGTAGTAGATGAGGTTGTCTTCAAACAACTAGCAGAAGTTTCTTGATTGCAGGCCATAGTTCTCACAGGGGACTTCAATCACCATGACACCTGCTGGGAGGGTAATACAGCAGTGCACAGGCAATCCGGGAAGTTTTTGGAGAGTGTTGGGCACAACTTTCTGGTGCAACTGCTAGAGCGGCCGACTAGGGGCCATGCTCTTCTTGACCTGCTGCTCACAAACACGGAAGAACTGGTGGGGAATGTGTTAGTTGATGGCAACTTGGGAAGCAGTGACCATGCAATGATTGAGTTCAGGATCCTGAGGAAAGGAAGGATGGAGAGCAGCAAAGGAGAGTATGGAGGAGTAAGGAAGGATGGAGAAACACAGAAAGGATAGAGAGTAAAGACCCTAGACCTCAGAAAATTAGACTTCGATTCACTCAGGGATCTCATGGGCAGGATTCCCTGGGAAGCCAGACTGAGGGGGAGAGGAGTCCAAGACAGCTGGCTATACTTCAAAGAAATCTTACCGAGAGTGCAGGAACAAACCATCCCGATGTGCAGCAAGACTAGCAAGTATGGCAGAAGACCAGCTTGGCTTAGCAGGGAACGTTCAGTAAACTAAATCACAAAAAGGCAGCTTATAAGAAGTGGAAACTTGAACAAATAACTAGGAAAGAGTATAAGAGCATTGCTCGGGCATGCAGGGATGATGTCAGGAAGGCCAAAGCGCAATTGGGGTTGCAGCTAGCAAGGATTGTGAAGGGTAACAAGAAGGGTTTCTACTAGTATGTTGGTAGCAAGAAGAGGATCAGGGACAGTGTGGGTCCCTTACTGAATGGGGGAGGCAACCTTGTGACAGAGGATGCTGAAGAGGCTGAAGTGCTCAATGTCTTTTTTGCCTCTGTCCTCACAGGCTAGGTCAGCTCCAGGCACCAGGCAGCACAGTTTGGGGAGGAGGTGAGCAGCCCTCAGTGGTGAAAGAACAGGTTAGGGACTAGTTAGAAAAGCTGGATGTGTACAAGTCCATGAGGGCAGACGGGATGCACCTGAGGGTGCTGAGGAAGTTGGCTGATGTGATTGCAGAGCCATCATCTTAAAAACTCATGGTGATCAGGAAAGATCCCAGATGACTGGAAAAAGGCAAACATAGTGCCTATATTTGAGAAAGGGAAAAAGAAGGATCCAGGGAACTACAGACCAGTCGGCTTCACCTCAGTCCCTGGAAAAATCATGGAGCAGATCCTCAAGGAATTAATTTCTAAGCACTTAGAGGAAAAAATGGTGATTAGGAACAGTCAGCATGGATTCGTCAGGGACAACTCATGCCTGACCAGCCTGATTACCTTCTATGATGAGGTGACCAGCTCTGTGGATGTGAAGACCAGTGGATGTGGTGTACCTTGATTTTAGCAAAGCTTTTCATACAGTCTCCCACAGCATTCTCGCAGACAAGCTAAGGAAGTATGGGCTGGATGAATGGACTGTAAGGTGGATAGAAAACTGGCATCAGGCTCAGAGAGTAGTAATCAATGGCTCCATGTCCAGTTGGCAGCTGGTATCAAGTGGAGTGCCCCAGGGGTTGGTCCCAGGGCCGTTTTTTTTTCAATGTCTCCATCAATGACCTGGAAGATGGCATAGAGTGCACCCTCAGCAAGTTTGCAGATGACACCAAGCTGGGAGGAGTAGTAGATATGCTGGAGGGTAGAGCTAGGATTCAGAGTGACTTGGACAAATTGGAGGACTGGGCCAAAAGGAATCCCATGAGGTTCAACAAGGACAAGTGCAGAGTCCTGCATTCAGGACAGAACAATCCCATGCACCGGTACAGGCTGGGGGCTGCCTGGCTGGGCAGCAGATCTGCAGAAAAGGACCTGGGGGTTACAGTGGACAATAAGGTGAATGTGATCCAGTAGTGTGCCCTTGTTGCCAGGAAGGCTAATGGCATCCTGGGCTGCATTGGTGCATGTATTGCCAATAGGTCAAGGGAAGTGATTCTTCCCCTCTATTCAGCACTGGGGAGGCCACATCTGGAGTACTGTGTCCAGTTTTGGCCCCCCACTACAGAAAGGATGTGGAGAAATTGCAGGGAGCCCAGCGGAGGGCAACAAAAATGGTGAGGGGCCTGGGGCACATGACTTGTGAGGAGAGGCTGTGGGAACTGGACTTGTTTAGCCTGAAGAGGAGACTGAGGGGGGATTTAATAGCAGCCTTCAACTCTCTGCAGGGGGGTTGCAAAGAAGATGGAGATGGCCTGTTCTCAGTGGTGGCAGGTGACAGAACAAGGAGCAATGGGCCCAAGTTGCAGCCAGGGAAGTTTAGGTTAGATATTAGGAAGGATTTTCTCACTAGGAGGCTAGCAAAACACCAGAACAGGTCCCCCAGAGAGGTGGTGGAGGCTCTGTCCTTGGAGGTTTTCAAAACCTGTCTAGACAAAGCCCTGGCTGGGATGATGTAGTTGGGGCTGGTCCTGCTTTGAACAGGGGGTTGGACTAGATGTGACCTCCTGAGCTCCCTTCCAGCCCTCATTTCCTGTGATTCCACAAACATGATTCCCTCTGGTTTGTTTATAGTT